GGAAGCCTCCGCCTATGCATCGACTATCGAGCATTAAACAAGCTCACTGTTCGCAACAAGTACCCTTTGCCCATCAGCATAGACCTTTTCGATCAACTTCATGGGGCAAAGTACTTCTCTAAACTGGATCTGCAATCTGGGTACTATTAGATGCGCATCGCAGAAGGAGACGAACCGAAGACGACCTGCATCACTCGGTATGGGGCCTTTGAATTTCTTGTCATGCCCTTCGGCCTTACGAACGCTCCCACCACCTTCTGCATAATGAACCAAGTGTTTCGTGAATATCTCGACAAATTTATGGTGGTATACCTAGATGACATAGTCGTCTACAGTCCAACCATGGAAGAACACCAGGTACACTTACAGCTTGTTTTCGAGAAGCTCAAGCAGAACCAGTTGTATGTCAAGCGGGAAAAGTGTTCTTTTGCTCAAGAACGCATCAGTTTCTTGGGTCATGTCATAGAATGTGGTCAAATAGGCATGGAAGATGGAACGGTCAAAGCCATTCAAGAGTGGAAAATTCCGACGTCCATCACAGAACTACATTCATTCCTCGGATTAGCCAATTACTATAGGCGATTTGTGGAAGGATTCTCGAAACGGACAGGGCCCTTAATGGAATTACTAAAGAAGAACTAGAAGTGGAATTGGACCCCAGAATGTCAAGCCGCATTTGAGAGTTTGAAAAAGGCGATGATGGAGGGGCCAGTGTTGGGGATTGCAGACGTCACACAATCGTTCGAAGTCGAGACTGATGCGTCAAACTTCGCTGTAGGAGGAGTGTTTCTCCAAGACGGTCACCCCATTGTGTACGAGAGTCGCAAGTTAAGTGATGCTGAAAGGAGGTATGCTGCCTCCGAGAAAGAGATGTTAGCAGTAGTCCACTACTTGAGGGCCTGGAGCTCAGTCTGTCACTTCTTCAACCAACCAAAGTTATGGTCCAAGAAAGCTAGGTGGCAAGAATACCTTGCCGAGTTTGATTTTCAGTTTGAACATAAGCCAGGTCGAGCAAATCAGGCAGCAGATGCCCTAGCAGAAAGAGCGAACATGCAGCCCTGTGCATGTTAGCTCACCTAAAAGCGAGCAAGCTAACTGGATCCATTCGTGAAGCCATCAAAGAGAACTTACAGAATGACCCAGCTGCCCAAGCGATAATTCAGTTGGCCAACGAAAGGAAGACTAGACAGTTTTTGGTGAAGAATGACCCCCTCTTCACCAAAGGTAACCGTTTGTACGTTCCCCATTCTGGGAACCTAAGGAAGCTCCTACTTGGGGAATGTCATGACACGATGTGGGCAGGCCATGCTAGATGGCAGAGAACTTACGCCCTGCTAAAGAAAGGCTATTACTGGCCGAATTTGAGAGACGACGTGATGAGGTATACCAAAACGTGTCTCATCTGCCAACAGGACAAGGTCAAGCGAAACAAAATTGCGGGTTTACTGGAACCCATACCAATCCCATCACGACCATGGGAGAGTGTGTCTCTCGATTTCATCACGCACCTACCAAAAGTCGGGGAGACAGAAGCGATCATCGTGATAGTTGACCGGTTCTCTAAATATGCTACCTTTATTCCAACTCCGAAGATGTGCTCGGCCGAAATGACTGCACAGTTATTTTTCAGAAATGTTGTGAAACTATGGGGTGTCCCTGAGAGCATCGTGAGCGACAAAGATCGACGCTTCACAGGGACATTCTGGACAGAACTTTTCCGCCTATTGGGATCCAATTTGAACATAGCTTCGAGTTATCACCCACAGACATACGGACAGACGGAACGCTTCAACAGTATGCTAGAAGAGTACCTCCGCCACTTTATTGATGCTCGGCAAAAGAATTGGATCCAGATGCTCGATGTAGCTCAATTCTGTTTCAATTGCCAAAAGAGCACCACCACAAGAAGAACTCCTTTCAAAATCGTGTGTGGGCGACAACCTATGTTACCTCATGTTGTCGACCATCCTTATGTGGGCAAGAGCCCTCAAGCCTACAATTTCACTAAGGAATGGCGTCAATCCATCGAAGTGGCCCGAGCATACCTGGAGAAGGCGTCTAAACACATGAAAAAGTGGGCAGACAAAAAGCGAAGACCATTAGAATTCTAGGCAAGAGATCAAGTCCTTGTGAAATTGAGACCTGAACAACTTCGTTTTCGAGGTAACAAAGACCAGCGCCTTGTGCGAAAATACGAAGGACCTGTCAACGTCCTTCAGAAGGTGGGCAAGATATCCTATAGGGTTTAACTACCCTCATGGATGAAAATCCATCTAGTAATCCACGTGAGCAACTTGAAGTCTTACCACCCCGACACCGTCGACCCTACACGAAACGAGGTAACCCGTCCAGCAGTCACGTTGACAAATAAGGTTGACAAATAAGTTGAGTCAATCCTCGCCGAAAGAACACGTCGAGTAGGAAGACCACGAAGGGACGTACAAGAATTCCTAGTCAAGTGGAAAGGGCTCCCAGATGAAGAGATAAGTTGGGAGCGTACTGAAAACCTGAAGACAACTGCAGCAACAATTGAAGAGTTCGAGCAACGACAGTTGACGGGGACGTCAACCATATAAGTGGGGGAGAATGTCATGGTAATGCTTGTCCAGGGCATGTTGCCTGTGGCTGCATGCCCGTAACAACCTCTTTCCACATATTATTATGCCATGTATTAAGTTTTGCTTGTTATTTTCTTTTCCTTGTACTTTTGGTGGCGAGTGGCTTCTCGCCACTTTGCATGTTCACACCTGCCATAGCAATTATGCCTTAGAATGTACTAAAAGAGGGTACACCTAGTCATCCTCCCTACATTGCGTTGTATTCTTGTCTTGCCGCTAATCTATTCTCTTGCATTCAAGCTTACAACAACTTTCTAAAATGTTTTCAAACGTTTTCCAAAACCTTTTTCTCTAACCCCATTTTCCAAAACCGTTTTCTCGTCAACGAGGGTGGAGGTTGCGACATATAGCCTTTGTGTTG